TGAATTAATTGGTAAATTATTAATTAAATTTGAACAGCATTTTCTTCTTGGAGAATTTTATTTTATTTATTATCATTACAATTGAAACTTTAAAGAGTATCTTGGATAGAAGCTATAAAATAAAATATGGTGAATGAGCAATTGCAGATGAATGTCTTGTAATAGTAAACAAAAAGATCAAAATAAAAAATACAAATGAATATATTCTTTTGTAATAAAAAAGGGAAAAAAAAATTAAAAAAGATTGTAAAAAAGATCATGTAAAAAAGGAATAAATATATTGTAGAAAAGGGAAAATGATGTATTGTAAAAATACAAACTTGACCATTTTTAGTACGTATAGATGATCCGTGCTCATCAAAAAAATTCGGTATAATGCGGCTAGTAATATATAAAAATTTTCAATAAATGTTCATTCAAAATAACGTTTAAAAATTCCGCATATATTAATATGAAATTATATTATTATTTGACTTTTATCTCAGTATAACCAATTTCATTTATATTTTAACTTTTGACATAATGCCAGTCAGATAGATATTTAAAGCACTTTTATCTAAATTTCGAATAGAAATTTTAGTTTCCTTTGCTGAGAAAAGGATTATCTATAATTTAATTATTATATTATTATAAATTTATAAAATAAATTTAATCACCTGTTTAGTAAATTCAAATAGATTTTATCAAAACAAAATGATGCATAGTAACTACTACAGTAAAAATTTCGCAAAATGTACATAATAAGTAAACATTAGATTGTTTGTAGAATATGCATGCAAAATTTCTTGGCTAATTTGAATTCATGTACGTGAATTGCAAATTCACATAATAATAAATTTTATTTTCACGCCAATGATTTTCTTTTTCAATTGCTTTTTTTAAAAATAAAATAAATTTTGTCTGTTTTAAAATACGGTTAGGTCTTAAAATAATACCTACCAAATAATAATTATTTAAAAATTTGAATATATTTTGTAAAACTAAGACTAATATACATGATAATAAATTATATAATAAGAGTGGCCGATGTTTTTTATGCAAAATATTTTCTTATTTGTATTCTTTGGTCAAGTTTGACAATATTTTTCATTAATAAACTGAATGCAAATTTTTCATACATACACAACGTTAAAAACAAATAAACATTAAAAAAAAATTTCCAAAAAAAAATAATAAAAACGAAAATAAAAAAAACAAGAATATTAAAAATAGCTATGCAACAAACAATCTCAACAACCTCAACAACAACGAAGTATTCATCCGGTTCAAAAAGTAGCTTCTACTAGTAATGACAATGGCAAAGTATTTACCCAATTCAAGGTTAACTTCTTCTACTAATAATGACAAACAACAACAGCAAAGCATTTACCCAGTTCAAAGGGTAGCTTCTTCCACTATTAATGATGAACAATAGCAACAAAGTATTTATCCAGTTCAAAGGGTAACTTCTTCTATTAATAATGACAAACAACAACAAAATATTTAAAGGGCAATTCATCTTCATCAAAACTTTCATCAAATCCATCTGATTTAGAAACAATGAGTTGACAGTTTAATAATTATTTATATTAGTTATGCATAAATTTAAAATATTCTTTAAAAAACGCATGTAAGTATTGTACAACAAGGAACAGGAAACAGAAACAGAACAACTTTGAACACCATATTGTTTCAAAATACTATTTTGTGCGACATTATAACATGTATTTAAGAAGACTTGTTATCATATGGAAGATTAATATCGTTTTAAATATGCATTCATTGAGATGGGTTTTATCATTCTTATTATTTGGTACTTTCACAGAATTTGCTTTATCATGTTTTCCAAAAATCAATGACAATTATATTTTAATAAGCCACTCCATTTCTCCAAATTGGCGAGTTAATGTTATCATGAGTTATCTGTAAGATACATAGAAAGATTTATTTGCTGTATTAATAATATTTTGAACTTTATTTCAATGAGATGTTTTTTAAAATTGAATAGTGATCCAGGCACAATTATTACTTATAATTCTGGTAATACACCAGCTTTTAATGAAGTTTTCATGTTGACTCAATCAAATCCTGGCGTTTATGAGATCCTGCCATTTTGGGATTTTAACCAAAATTATAGTATGATAATCCTAAATGTTTTATTTGTTTCTCAGTCAATAAATCTTTTGATAATTAATTTGTAACTTGTTGTTCTATTCATTGTAATATAGTCATTGGAATTCCATCTGGAAGTAAAATAGTTGGTGACAGTGTCCAACTTAATACTATGTTAGTTTTAACATATAATCCTTCTTCCGCATTCCTATCAATCGATTCTAATTTATCATAATTTTTTATTTTGACCCTAAAGCCTTAACAACAGCAATACACAGGTAAACTCGATAAGTCGGACACAAATGGCTGGACATAATGTCCGACTTATCAAGAGATCCGACTTATCAA